CGCATACACCGGTATGTGCTAATTGATCGAGGTGATTTGAACAGTTATTTCGGTAAAATTAACTGTTATAAAATTATGGACGATTAGATCGTGTGATCATATAAATTAAGGCTTTATATCTTTGTTGGTCTAGCATGGATATGGATGGTGTGCAACGTCTTTGTTCGGGTCGTGGGAAAAAAATAATCGATTGCTTTGTATGTAACAGCCGTGATAGCTCAGTGTTCGGGCGCTCGTCTTCAATTCAATATACTCGAGCAACCTGAGTTCGATCCCCGGTGCCAGCACCAATGAAATTGGCAATTTTAAGTGCTGAATTATCACGTGCTCAGCGGTGAAGGAAAACATCGTGAGAAAACCTACATATTTTTGCAATAACAAAAAAAAATATTTCGAAGATATGTGAAGTTCACCGATCCGCAGTGGGGCTGCGTGGTGGACGATGCCCTGTCACCCTCTGTAAAAAAAGAGGAGGCCTTTGCCCAGCTGTGGGATATGTATAGGCTGTTACTTTACTTTGTATGTAGTTACGAAATAACAAATCAATCGACTCTAAACGTACGCGAATAACCAATAAGGTATATTTGATGCGAAATAAAGTATAGTTTAATTTTATATTGGAGTAAATTTACTAAAACTAAGTAATTTTTTATATAAAGCGCATCTCCAAGACAGCTTTATCTTATCGCGTGACAGAGAAACTTCTGTTGCAACGAAATGTGTTATGTTTTTCAAGTGAAAGTAGAATATGGTGAATTATTTTGTTGCGATTTGCACTTTTTTTTTTTCGTGAACCATGACGGACCACTCGGATGACTCGAAGGCGCACTTGCCACAAGTTATTGGCTTCGGCGTCGGGGTTCGATTCCCACACGGGCAAGTATTTGTGTGACCCACAGATAATTGATGCAGTTCTGGCTGTTTGTTTCCCAAGCAGGGTTGACGTCAGGCAGGCGGCCGGTCGTAAAAAAGTATAGCCAAAACCGCTTACAACATTCTTTTAAACTTTAATTTTTTTCTAATTTTTTAAATGCTTATGTCCTAGGCTCAACGCCGCGGCTGGTGACAAGAGAGCTGGTTCTTTTCTCGCTCAAAGGTTAAGCATAACTATTCAGCGAGGCGGTGCAGCTAGCGTTCTTAGCACCATGCCGCGTGGGTTAAGTTTATTAGATAATATTTAATTTTAGATGGATATAATCTTGTAAATATCAGAATGATTAAAATATATGCTTTATTCACTTACAACATGTTGTGTCGACCCCACCCAGGATACGGGCAGGAGGATCATGATGAACTATGACGGAACAATATTTTGTCGGTGATTTTTTTTAATTGTAAATTGGACTATTCGACTTTCCTACATGTTGGTAACTTAGTGGATAGGAATCTGTTTCTGTTTCCAGAGGGTTTTCGTTTGATCCCCATCTCAAGGTGTGGTGGTTGGTGTTTACATATCTATAACTGTACACATCTATTTATTTATTTATTTATTTCAAGAAAGCCAACATAATGTACACTATTTAAGACTAAGGAAAATAAATGTATATCAACTGTTCGTTAGTGTCATTACAATTAAAGGCGCTGACAGCATGCAATATAACTGTGAGAAAAATACAGTTAAAAATATTTTTTTTGTTACAAAATCCAAAATTAAAACAAGAGTTATTATAGTAAATTAAAAAAAATAATGGAAAAAGGAAATAACAGTAAAAAACATTAAAAAAACCGTGATAAACAGTGAATATCTATAACATAGCCGTGATAGCTCAGTGTCCGGGCGCTCGCATGGAAACAGAAACAGTAATAACAAAAAAAAAACATTTCGAAGATATGTGAAGTCCGCCAATCCGCAGTAGGGCCGCGTGGTGGACTATGCCCTGATACCCTCTGTACAGAGGAGGCCTTTGCCCAGCAGTGGGACATGTATAGGCTGATACTTGACTTTTTTCTAACTGTATCTATTAATTATTACAGTCGGGAGCCCACAAATAATAATATCAAAAGCTGTCAACGCATCTGCAAGCTTTTAAGTATTGTACATATCCATGGGCGGCGGTCTGCATTTAACATCAGGTTACCTGCTCGTTTGACAATTTTTCCCGTTAAAAATTTAAATGTCTAATGTAATGTATGTTTATCGGTTATCCACTATTAGTCCATTAATAACAACGGGCAAATTTAGAATACCACAAATTCTCTCAAAAGATCTTCAACGTGTCTAAGATAGTTCTCGAGCCTATAGAGATAAAATAAAATAGTAGACATTATACTCACACACATTTCGGTACCTTTATTACGAGTATGACAGTTTTCTTAATAATTTTTCTCTTCCTAACTCGAGAGGATCCTGATCTCTAACATAAACTGTCTCGTTTTTCTTGTATTGCTGGATGATTGTCTCGATAGTAGTCCTTGGCGATTTTTTAGGCATATTCCACTATCGGTACTGTAAATTATACATCTCTATCTTCTCCCGTAACTATATTGCACAAAAAATATTACATGAAATGAAATCTGGGTCGGGGCTCGTAAATATTCTTTAATTTGTTATTCCAGTCAACTTTATTAAATATATTAAAATTGTAGATCTAGCCATGATCTACAATTTCAATATATAAAAAACCATGCACTAAACAGTAAATAGTTGATGAAAATTTAATTCAGAAATTACCATCTAAATTTGTTTTAAAATATCAGTTACTGGAATTGTGTTATAATTTATTCAACATTAACTTATCTACAATCTGAAACGTAGGTAAATTATTGTTATTGTTCTTTCTTTGAATAGATTTTTTAGAAGATAACTTTTTTTACACAAAAAGTGGCTGACCGATAGCTTTTACAGTTTAGATCCGATTAGATTTTACACTAGCTCAGTGAAAACCTGTCCACCCTCGCCTTGAAAATGCAAAAATTATTCAGATGGAAAGATGGAAAGATGTACGCATAACGATGGATGGAAAGTGTTTGGTTCATTTAAAATACCTCATGGTACTTTCTATAAATATTTTAGGAAAAATTTTTACATATTATACATATACAAACACCCAGACACTAGAAAAACACTTTTCATCACACAATATTTTTCCAGTAGTGGGGATCGAACCCACACCCTCTGACGCAGGAGGCAGGTACACTACCCAATACGCCATTCGAGTCGTCGTATAAAACAATCACTACATAGTATAAAACAAAGTCGTCCTCCTGTCTGTCAGTCCTTATGTATGCTTAGATATTTAAATCTACGCAACGGATCTTGCATAATACATTGCACGCGTGCGAAGCCGGGGCGGGTCACTAGTATTTTATAAGCATGACTACATAAATGCCCTCGGATATCCGTAACACCAACGTAGTTGCAATTTTTTTTAGTTATGGCGACGTGTAGTTTGTTGTTTGCCGGCAGCTTTGACAGCTTCGGCGGAAGAGGTAGTACTTGCAGTAACATAATGCATAGATGGTAAAAATTAAATGATATTACCATTTCCAACTTCCAAGTGTAAACCTTGGCCCAAGTTGAACACAGAACCGCGATAATCTATTACTGGTTTCTTAGCCAATATCGTTCTACCGTTGTAACTGGTATCATCATATCTATTATATTAGCAATAGTTTCTAAACAGAAACTATGTTTAATGTATCGCACATGAACTTTTTGAGCTTTGTAGGGTTCTGTACCTCTAAATGTAAAAAATGATATTCTTATAAGATCACTCTCTTGTCCGTCTGTTCGTGTGTCACCGCCGATTTTTCTATCAGGTGTAAGTAAATTGTGGAATTTAAAAAAAACTAATTAGTGTCATAATTATGGAAGAGAGAAGTAACGAAAAGAAAATTGATACAATTTTTTAATGGAAATTTAAACTACCATTATTCTTTGGAATGATCAAAAAAAATCTAAAATCATAACCATTTATCCATTGACATAAGAAACATACATTTCATTTCGTCCATTCATCTCTATCGTTATAAGATATCAAACATGAACTCTTTAGCAAGAGAAATTTTCTATCAGGTGTACAACCATTACCCAAAATACAACCGCTGAGGAAGACATATTTCTACCCGTCTGTATGTACATAATTATGGACCTATGTCTGAATCTTTTGCACGCCTTATGGCATAAATCTTTTTAAATTAGATTCGTCTTATGCGTGGAAATGTTATATTGTACATTATTTCAATATAGTGAACGCAAAAAATTAGATTGATAGTTATTACATTTTTAAAGCAATCTGGTTTTTTGTTTCATTTAATAATTTATGTTATGTTAATTTAAAAACGTCCGTTGTTACATCAATACGTTTAAAGCTATTAACCTCGCCGAGATGTTATGGCCACGTCGAACGTCGGGCGGAAAAATATGTCGGAAGGAAATGCCGTGATATGCCTGATCCCGGAGCTAGACCTCCTAGACGCTCAAGGAAGTGATGGCTCTCATCATCAACACATCACTTCATCATCCTTGATGATGTCAAAGAAGCTTAAGTAGAAAGGCCTACCCTGTCAAGAGAAGGGATTAGATTAATGCCAGGTAGAAGATATATGCTAGCTTTTAAATTATATAAAAAATTTTAAATTATTTCAATTTTTTTATTGAAGAAGCATCAAAGAAAATTTGTCATTAACTAGTACGATATTTCGTTAAATGTGACCAATTAAAAAAATACCACTCGTAAATATAAGTAAATCGGAATATGTGTATACGATCAAATATTTATACGCCACAGTCTTCAAAATATTTATCATTTATATTTGGATGACTCTACGGCGCAGTGGCCGAGATATTTGGCTTCGGCTTCGGTTCGATTCACACACGGGACAACTATTTGTGTGACCCACAGAATAGTTGTTGTCCACGTGAAATTTATGTTTGTAAAACCTCCTTACAACACAGGATAATGTTATCCTGAAGTAAGGGCAATGTTAAAAAAAAGAAAAAATCCACTTGAATCGCGTGCATGTTCATAACGTTCCCTCGCCGCAATGCATCGTATTTACATGCATTTACACAAGTTAATGTACTTATTACTTAATTGTAGACGTCGCTCGCTCCCGCGACACCGCGGCGGAATTCGCCGAGCAAACAGCGTGGGCGATGTCGCAACGCCATTATCCGCGCCTTTGCGCAGGAAAGCCGTGACGTCTTCAGCCGCCTCCGAAGCAATGGAGCGGTGGTGGGCCGCCTGCAGCAATGCATTCGGGCGTCGGAGCCCGATTTGACAGTACGCGTTGACGACGCCTGCGCACTGTACGCCGTGAAAAGTACGAGGGCGCGCTCGAGTTGTGGTCGGCTTCGCTTTCGCGCGCGCGCTTTTTGACAGTGACATTTGTTTTTTTTTTGGCGCTCTCGCAATTTCAGTGGTCCCTCCCTTTCCGCTGCAGTGACAAGTGATTGTTTGTGGTCCGTGCTGTAGATGTACGTGTGAATTTATTTAATATTTCTTTTTCTCCCTCGTCCGACTTCGTGTATTTCGACACAGCCGCCGGCCGATTGAGGTAGGTTGTGATTACGGTGTTATGTCATTATTAGTTTTCGCTAATGATATGCTTTCACTCGGACGGCGGGGATTTGGGTCAGTGGGCCGCTGGAAAGTGATATCCGCGGCGGAGGCTGCGGCCGCGGTCTACGTCCGATGCAGATGGATGTTGCGTTAGTTAGTAAGAGGTGTAATTTCTTAAAAACTGCCCATTAGGTAATCGCGTAAAAAATGCGCGTACGCGACTCGATAGCGTTTTTTCGAAATCTTTGACAGTACCTGGCATTTTCTTATTCGTTTATGAGTAAATTCTATTACGGTTTATCTATATATTAATACGTGAGGCAAAAAATTTGTAACCCTTTTTACGAAAATAGCGCGGACGGAGGAGTACGAAATTTCCCAAACTTATAGTTTGTATAGAGAAGGAGTGCAGAATGCTAGTATTTTTTTTTATTATACACAAAAAATACATTAAATCAGTATCAACAGATTACACGCACTACCATGTATTTGTCACACACATGCTTAATATATACTGTTTTCTTTATTTGTCTATTGTATTTGAGAGTTGATTAATATTGTTCAAACTTGGTCGAATTCCGACCACTCGGCGTCCACTCGTATTATTAATTACTACTCATCATAACGGCACCATTAAATTTATATGCTATGGATATTTGGTCCGTTTGTGAAATAACGTTTAAATTTATGATATGATAATCTAATAAGACCCCGATGGTGGATCATAAAGAATGGATTTTGACTATTTAATTAATGAAGTTTGTGTCTATAGCGATAATTTAAACTAAGTTATGTTAAACTGCTCGCTTATTCGGTGTGTGAAGAAATATGGAGAAACATACGTTGAAAAAACATGTTGAACGATTCGTAATTAAACTTGCTCTGTACGATATTCTATTGCTATGTTATAATATTGTACAGTACATAAGTTATTAATATTTATTGTATATTTTAAGGTATAGCGTTGCTGTCACTTTTATGTTATTGCTTTACTTATTGCCTTTGTTTTTCATTCCATGTTTAATTTAAATATTACTTTGTAGTCATTTATGTTTATTTATAAGTTATATAAAAAATTGTGTTTATTAGACACGAAGTTTACTGTAAATAAATGACTCTTATGCGAGTTCTAACATTCTTTAGTCTTTCAGTTTTATTTTTATGACTTGTAATAATCATTTTATGGGTGCAGCGATGGAGTATTGCCGAGTTTAGAGACGTGCGATTAGGTTTTAGTTTTAAACATTTAAACATCATTTGCCTTTCTATAGCAAAACTACGTTTCGTTTCACTGATAAGCTTTAGATTTGAACTGCCAGTGCACTAATACATTGTAAAATCACTTATTTTCGCTAGGAATTAAGTAAACACTGTTGCCTCGTTCACCGCTGCCATTTCCAAAAATGTTGTATAACGAACGATAATCTCAACTAATATGATAAATGAGAAAGTGCGTTTGTTGGTTCGCCCTCTTTGGCCAGCAGCGGCCAGTGACTTAATGCTTTTCAATTTCTGCGGAACAAACCTGTGGCTTAACTCTTGTTATTAATTGAGATTATAAAGGCATATTTGGGGTAGCGGACGATCGCGTCTCCCTGTTCCTTTGCAAATGAGACAAAGGACGTGCAACGTGGGTTCGTAGTGGTGTGGGATGTGAGAGGTGTTTTAAATGTCCAGGCGTGGCGGCAATCGCTTAGTATCGATCGATATGTCTGCTCATTTTTCACCTTCTTAAATAGAAAAAAAAAATTCATAGGAAAATGGTCATTTCAAAAATAAAAATGGGAGTGATAGGAAGGACTAGGGTCAATGAATAAAGTAAGAATCGGTTGATGACACTATTGGCGTGGGGAGTAGTGAACCAGTCTCTTGTGCACCAGACGGTGCGGGTTCGATTCCCACTGCTGGAATAATATCCTGTGCTGGACATAGTGTTTTTCCCGGGTCTGCGTGTTTATATACGACTGCGTAGGGCTGAAGGTGTAACATTAAGACAGAAAGACAGATATACATAAAATATGTATATAAACTATAGCCTATGTCTTATTCTGATGTATAAGCTATATCACTGTAAAGTTTCATTAAAATCCATTCAGTAGTATTTGCGTGAAAGAGTAACAAACATCCATCCATACATACAAACTTTCGCCTTTATAATATTAGTAAGGATAATACGTATGTATTTACAAAAGAAAAGTACGTTTAAGTATGTTTATCAGTTTTCTGGTACTATTATATTAATTCAACGTATAATTATATTAATTGGTTAAATAAAAAATGTTTCTAACATATAATTACAATAAGTAAGACTTAATATGACGCAAATTTAAAGCTTACTATTATGCTTTTCCTTCTGTCTCCTGTTCTTTCGTTAATATGACGCTTAATCCGCAAGCTATGTTCACAAAGATCAAATCTCAGCGGTGTGGTGACCGACTAATTAAAAACTGGTTATAAAGAAATGATTTTTCTATCACATACCAATGACAGACAGAAACAGGACCATATTAACTGAAATATGAAGTTTATAAAACCGGCCCCAAGTCATCAACTAAGCGTATTCAAAAAAAGGTTAATGTATTCATTAAGCACCAGAATATGAAGATAAATAATTTCTACAGTTGTATATTATGTTTTTGCACATTTCGTTATATTTAAGATTCTGTCTAAATAAATTGAGGTAGCTTATAACTTTTTTTAACTGTGGTCACGTTGCCACTTAATTGTAAGTTGAAGAAGTATGTTTTGTTTCTTTTTGCGCAATGGTTCTAACCTGGACATGTTGAATATAATTACTCTGTTTTAATATTGCAAATTTAGGGAATATACACTACAATTACTTAGATTCTTTTTATATAGAAATCCAAACCGCAGCTTTAGACCAGGTCATAAAAAATAACGGAATAAAGTTTGACAGAGTTCATTAAATAAACTTATATTAACACGTGAAGCAAAAACTTTGTACCCATTTTTAAGAAAATTGCGCGGACGGAGGGGTGTGAAATTTTCCACACTTATAGTTTATATAGAGAAGGAGTGCAGAATAATTTTAATTAAATATTATCGTATTTTGGACCACTGGGCGTCCACTAGTTGAAAGTAAAACGTGACTTCGTAGCGCAGTTGTCAAGGCAGTGACTTCGGCGTCGGGGGTCGTGGCTTCGATTCCCAATTGGAACAACTATTTGTGCGACCCACAGATAGTTTTTTCGCATCTGGGTGTTTGTCCACGTGAAATTTATGTTTTTAAAACGTCCTTACAACACAGGATAATGTTATCCTAAAGTAAAGGCATTGTGTTTTATAGTATTATTGTGGTAGGGCCACGCAGCAGCCTCGGTTGTTGCACGAATGGGCAGGCTCGTCCGGGTAAGTACCACGACCTCACAGAGGACCGGCGTGAAGTGCGAGTATAATACTTTCGCGTTTCCTCTGGTGAGTGAGGTGGTCGGAGCCCAATTTTCAAAAGGTTGTCAACGCACCTGCAACGCTCGGGTGTAGCAGATGTCCATGGGCGGGGGTATTCACTTAACATCAGGTGAACAGCCTGCCCGCTTGGCAATTTCTCACATAAAAAAAAATTTAAGATTGTGAGTTCTTACAAGTTTTTTCATTATTTTCCTTGAATTGATAGTATTATGACTGATGAAATTTCTTTCATTATAATTACAAGAAGGTCTGTTTATGTATATTGCTGTATTATTAATTCATGGCTGCATTTTAACTTTCATAACCGTAACGAAACTCCAACAACACGTGTCACCTTGTCATTATACTATCAATCGTTAAATTTTACATCCAATGCTGATTCCACAAAACAGTTTTTAAGAGCCACGTGTTTTTGTACAAAATCTAGATCAAGGGTGTGTATTTTTTGCCAAACAAATAAAACTTTTACAACCGCTTCCATAGCCAAGGTACGTGGACTTCTGTAAGGATATTGCTAGCTTACCTTGGGTACATTACTTGGTTTCCTTTTTCATTTTTAGGGTTCCGTACGCAAGGGGTAAAATGGGACCCCATTACTAAGACTTCGCTACCTGTCTGTTTGTCTGTCTGTCTGTCTGTCCGTTTGTCATCAGGCAGTATCTCATGAATCGTGGTCGTAAGACTTGAAATTTTCACAGATGAGGTATTTCCGTTGCCGCTATAACCACAAATACTAATAAACAGAATAAAAAGTGGGGCTCCCATACAACACACATAACTTTTTTCCGTTTTTATATATTTATGACTATTATTATAGTAGGGAATCCTTCGTGCGCGAGTCCGACTCACACTTGGCCGATTTTTATTTTTTTTTATTTTTATTTTTATTTATTATTGTATCGAAAATACGCACGTTTCGATTATCGAATTCGGTATCGAACTTTGATACGAAATTTAACTAAATTAAGCTTGTTTAACCGAATAATACCTTGTCACTATTTAAAGGTGGGATAGATGACCTTTATTTGTATAATAAAATCAAACCGGCAAAGCTTAGCGGCTGTTGTTCCTTATTTGTATATCGTAATTACGAACACTGGAATCATGCCAGGCAACTCACTGGAAACAGAATCGCGTTACTGGCAAGCGGCTCTCGACCCAAGAAACGGCATGGAAAGGGACATTGTGTTTTATAATATACATATTACACAATACGTGCATTTATGTGTTTATATCACTTACTGTATATGTATATAATGTAACGCCGTGTTTGTCTTTGAGCGATCCCGCGTCGAAGGCACGTAGCTAAACGCCAGCAGATATTATGGGCTAACTTTCAGATATGTTTCTAGTTTTAGATCTTTTAGTCTAGTTATAACTTTAGTATCTTATCTACG